CCTCCGCCACCTACCACAGTTTGCCTACGCCCCCTGGAGGTGAGGCCCCGGGGGGGGGTGGTCACCGTGTCCCCTTCCCACGCCCTTTGCAGGCCGGTATGCTCTGACCCCCTTCATTCCCACGGCCCCGCCTGTCCCCGCCTGCAGCCCTGCGCTTCCCCGCGGACCCCTAACGCACGACCAGGGGCGGCTGCGGCAGGGGCCGGTGTTTCGCGGCTAGCGCCCTCTATCCTTCGTTATTTTCCGCCTTCTGAGTTATAATTCACGTTCTGTACACTTCCGCAGTATCAGGCAAACGATGTCCACAGACTGGCGCCTCCAGCGCCGTCATCAGCTGTAGAATGTTTTCATCACCCAGAAAGACCCGGGTGCCCATCAGCAACCACCGCCCGGTCCCCTGCAGCCCGTTCTCCCAGCGCCAGGCAAACACTGATCTATTCCTGTCCCTATAGATCTGCCTGTCCTGGACCTCTCACTGTAATAGAATCAAGGGCTGCTCTGTGGTCTTTTGTGGCGGGCCTCTTTTCCTTAACACAGTCTTTCCACGTTCATCTGCACGGAAGCACGCGTCAGCACTCTATTCCTTTTTTAAATTCCAACTAATACCCCATTGTTTGGCTATGAGGCAGGAGGACCCCAAGTTCAAGCCTAGCCTCAGCAACTTAGCAAGACCTTGTCTCAAAATTTAAAAAAAAAAAAAAAAGGCTAGCAGTGTTTAACTAATGCAAAGGCCCAGGTTCCAGTCTCCAGGTCTGAAAAAAAGTAAAAAAGCTGTTGCTTATTTTTTGATGACAACCAGAACAGCTAAGACAGTGTGGGAGAACTGGTGATCTGCGTATGGACTGTGCAACAGGTTAATGATGTGCTATTAATATTAAATTCCCTGATTTTGATATTCATTGCAGATGTGTAAAAAGGTCTTTATTTTTAGGATATAAACAATGACATATTTTGGGGTAAGAAAAAACCAATGTATGGTATTCACTCTCAAACTACTGAAACACACACACACACACACACACACACACACACACACGATGGGAGGAGTTGGTGTGTTCATGTCTTAGGTGTGTTCATGTCTTCCACAACTTCCATGCTGTGGAAGTTCATACTTCCACAACAAAGTATTCCAAATGAGGTGGCTTAAAAGAACAAAAATGGCCAGGCATGATGGCACACACCTGTAATCCCAGCACTCAGGAGGCTGAGGCAGGAGGATCACCACAAGTTTAAGGCCAGCCTGAATCACATAGTGAGTCCTTGTCTCAAAAAACCAAAAAATCCAAAAATATATTGTCTCACAGCTTTGGAAGGCAGAAGTGCATAAGCAAGGTCTCAGCAGGTCAGGCTCCCTGGGGAGACCCCTCCCTGCCTCTTGCTAGTTTGCAGCCGTTTGCAGACTATGCTGGTGTTCTGGACTGGGGCTGTGTCCCTCCGCTTCTTCTGCGAAACCACCTTCTTCCTGCCTAGTGCTGTCACCCTGCGGCCATCGCACGAGGACATTCGTAGGGTCAGAGAAGGATCATGTGTCGGGTTAGGGACCTCACCTTCACCAGTGACACCTGCATAGATCCCATTTCCAAATAAAGCCACACGTGGCGGTGCTGGAGGCTGGGATTCCCACATCTCTCTCTCATGGGCGAGACCCAGCCTGTGACAGCTGGAGAGAGCGAGGACAGAGCCGCTCCAGGGGGTGCTATGTCTCTCACGGCTCCTGACGATGGGGTGGGGGGGACGGCGAGAGGATTTAGAAATAAAGACAGGAGACAAAAGCTGAGGTCAAGTGGAGCCCTCACTCCGGATGAGACAAAAAGGAAGAGCTATAGAGCCTTTATTTGTACACTCAGGAGGTTGATGTCAGTTTCAGCCTCTGCCTAGCTGAAAGGCGAGCGGGAACAGCCAGTTTACAGGGCTGGAGGAGCTTCTTCTGTTCTCCAGGGGGTCTTAGCCCCACAGGTGTGATTGACTTCCAGCTTCAGCTGCTCCCTACAAGGGGTGTGTGGGGAGTGGCTGAGCTAGTGATCCTTCACAGGTGTGGAGCCCCCCAGGCAAACAGCTGTTCCAGCCCCAAGAAAACCGGGTGTAAGAGGCAAGCTAGTTAAGTAAAGGGGGCATCACAGGACAAATGTATAAATAAACGCATCGTGGTGGTTGAGCAGTTCCTGTCCTCCCATCCAGAGAGGGCTCCACCTGATCTCAGCTTTCTGTCTCTTACGTTTATTCCTCCATCCTCTCGCTGCCCGCCCCCACCGCCCACCCCAATTTCGAGAGCTGAACACGGGGCTGCAGCAGGGAGAAGTGCATTGATAACATGGGAGAAGTGCGCAGGGAGAAGTGCGCTGATAACATCAGTATTGATCAGAGGTGAACTGCTAATGATGTCATCAGGTGTAAAATTCGGGGCAAAGAGAAAAACGGGCTCATTAGGGCCACAGAGGAAAACAGGCTCGAGAGAAACAAAAGAGAGGTGCGCTGATTTTATCAGGGGTTAAACATGGAGCAAACATTTTCAAGAACCACAAAGGTACATGGAACTGTTTGTTGTAATCTTCACTTCTGTATTTACTTTACTTTCGTGGTTTGCGCTAGGGAGCATTTCAATGATCAGATGTTTGTTAAGACGACCACAAAGGATTTGGCTGGAAGCACTACTTTAAGACCAAGTCGTACGTGGAAGAAAGATGGCACAACAATAGAGCTTAGACCCTCTGACTTTGTTCAGTTAGATAGGGAAGGAGCAGTGGGGGGCAAAAAGGATCCTTCCTCATTGGAAGAGTGTTTCCCAGTGAATTCTATTTTACAATGCCCGATTAATTTAGCAGAGCCACAAGCCGAGATTTCTGTCTTTTCAGCTCAGAGATGTTTTGTTGTGCAGCAGGGTGAAAAATTTTTTTTTCCTCAGGGAGTAGAGCCGTTTTCTCTCTCTCCCTTGCAATTGGCATTAAAGGAGGCCAGACAGGCTGGGAAGTCCATGGAGGGTTTTCAATATATCCACCCTGTTCCTGAACTTCGAGCTCCCGATAACCGGGAACAAATTATACATCTTCATGAAGCTGTACCCTTTAAGACCCTAACAGAATTAAAACAATCTATGGTCCCACTGCCTCTTTTCCCTTAAGTTTAATAGAGCTTGTAGGGCAAGAGATTATGGCCTCAGACAATTGGAAGGAGATAGCTAAAGCACGTTTAAGTCTGGGGGATTATTTGTTGTGGAAAAGAAATTTTTAAAAGTTGTGCACGGATCAGTCCACGTGCAATGCTGCTTGTAACATAGTCATTACAAAAAACATGTTAACCGGAGAAGGTGCCTTTGCTGCCGCAAATAATCAACTTACTTTTCAGCTGCCAAGATATGAGCGGATTAAGAGAGCTGCCGCAGAGGTTTGGAGGGAGCTTCCTCCAAAGGGTGAGACGTCCCTTGATTTGACTTCCATTCATCAGGGTCCTGATGA